TACAACTTCTTAGCTGGTGGTGATGTGCATTTGACTCTTTTTCTTTGCTCTTTTCCTCAATAACCCCACCGCTTCCCCCCAGTGTAAGTTTGCTAAAACTAGGATGGATTTTTCTCCAGGAGGGGCCTGGCAAGCCACCGGTGACAGGATGAACTGACTTGTAGTAAGTGGGCTTTAATATAGGCCAGGCCACACTACATCTTTTTTGTGCCCTGCCTTCCCACTTAAAACCTGTGGCCATCACTCTTGTCATTAGACCACCCTCTGAAATAAGCAAGGGCCATGAACAGGCCATTCAGGAAAGACTACAAACTGCTGACCAGCATGGCTTATGTTACACCTGGTCCTAATACACTCAAAATGTATTAGTGCTAGGGGACTCATACTATAAGCTTCCTCATTTACATACATGCAAACAGATCAGAGAGGGTAAGTAAACTGCTCAGTGCTCCACAGCTGCCTGACACCGAAACCTGTGCTTTGAACAAGACGTGACAGTGGTCAATGAAGAGGAAATTAAGAATCTCCATGGGGCTGGCCACCAGTGGCTCACGCCTATAATCCCAGCTACTCAGGAGGCAGAGATCAGGAGGATCGTGGTTCAAAGCCAGCCTGGGCAAATAGTTTGTGAGACCCTATCTCAAAAAAACCCATCACAAAAATAGGGCTGCTGAATTGGCTCAAGGTGTATGCCCTGAGTTCAAACACCAGTAACACACACACACACACACACACACACAGAGTAGCCATGGGATACCATTTTCCAGCGCCTGTTGGGACACCCGTCAGCCTCAACTTAAAATCTCTCCCTCTTTCCAAGTTCCTCAATTGTTGGGGGTCACCCAAACCAAGAACTGAGTCTCCCTACCTCACTTTACCTTAATCCAGACTGCATCAGCTCTCATGGGGTAACAGCTGGACCCCCTGGCAGGACACCACATGACCAGCTCCATGGGCCAATACACACTGGTGCCTGTGGGAAGGGACCCTGCTCAGTGTACGTGGGCAGTCTATCCCTCTGAGCCACTCTGCCCACAGCCCATACCCTTTACAGGAACCCTCTCCGAGTTTTCTTGGCCATCACAGGACCAGGCAGAATATCCTTAGCACCTGGCCACTCAATGCTCCCCTTATCCTGTCCTACACCATGGGGTGAAGGCCTCCTCCTTGAACTTATCCCTACACTGCTCAAAGGCTCCCGAAAAAACAAATCAACTACACTATTTAAGTTTCTGTACACTACAAGCCGCAGGCTGGGGCTTAGATCAGGGGCTTCTGAACTCAAACCTCAAGCAGAAAGAAGGCCGAGCCTGTGGGTAGAAGACTGGGTGAAGGCCTACTGTTCAGCCCTACTTTGGCCTTGGATCCTTGGCCCCAAACTTAGCTGTGGGCTGCAGCTGCTGCCATCCCAGCCTCCTGAGCCAGCCCTGCTCTGGCACATGCTGCTCCTTGGGCAAGCACCCAGGGGAGGGATTCAAGGTCTCAGATAACAGCCTCGTGTGCAGGGTTATAATGGGGATCGCCCAGCAGGTGCAATACACCTCTGTGAGTCCAACACCATGGCCTACCTCTGGTTCTTCTGCTGGGCTCTCCTGGGCACTGCCTTCGGTAGACACCCAGCCCTTTTGCCCCAATTCTGTTCCTAGTTCAGCTGTGCAGTGTTGTGAACCTGAATGAGTCACTCTCACCCTCTGAGTGCCACTGGCCTCAGGTCACATGCACCAGGTCACATGCCCCCTCATGGTCCCAGGACCACCTCAGAAACTGGCAGCTGGGGACCCCCCTACTCCTTGTCTTTCCCTCACCTCCCAGCCAGTATGAAACCCCCAAGGGGAATGAGGCCTGTAAAGAGGCCAGGGAAGATAAAATCTGGAGGGACAGTTAGCAGCTTGGCCCTTCAAACCTTGCCGTTTTAGAACCTTGAGATTGCTCTTTTAAACCTCTATTCACTTAGTTCCCACTATGTGCCAGGAATAGAACAAGTGCTTTGTGCTTATTGGTCACACATCCTCACACCAACCCTGTGAGGGTGGCAACTGTGTGACTGCTATGTGCAGATGGAGAAACTAACTCCAAGCTGAAGTTCCAGGGCTGCCTCTTTCCCAGGCCCATAAGCAGCACAGCTGGATGGCCTTATTAGTCCCAAGGACTTGTGATAAGGGGGGGATGGTGCGGCAGGCTGCGATTGGTGGGCTCCAGGATATAACGGGGGCTCCTCAGGGAGAGCCCCTAGGCTAAACACCAGGGCTTTCTTCTGGGTCATCCTCAGTGACCCCCTCTGCCAGTGGCACTGGTAAGTGGAGACTCAGGCAGCCAGGAAGCCCCAGGTCACACCCACCTGTCATGGTCCAATGCCTCGAAGGAAAGGGGGCATGTAAGTGCTTCTACCTCTAAGACTCTCCCCACAGCCATGGTGGGGCACCATATTCCCCCTTCTCCTTCACCTGGCACCCTGCTGGCCACCTACCAATAGCTCTGGCCTTGCCCTCTAGGCCTCTCGATACTGCTGTTTGACTTCCTGCAGATGAGGGGTGCATTCTGGGCATGTGGGTGCTCTCTGGGCTGGGTCAGGCTGAGGGTGCTGCCCTTCTTCCTCCCCAGGACAAAACCGGCTTCCACTTCTGTGGGAGGCTCCCTCATCAGTGAGGATTGGGCAGTCACTGCTGCCAACTGGGTGAGGTCTGGACTCAGGTCTGGACTGGGGACACTTGGGAGTCTCTTTCTGTCACCATCAGCTCCAACCAAGCAATGTGCCCAGAAGGAAAGGGTCTGAGGAAAACTGTAGGCTGGAAACAAGCTGTTCCTATCCCACAGCCATAGGCAGAGCAGCCTCTGCTGGATATACACCCCAGTGGCCCTCACTGCCCTCACCTCAGCCCAGCTGGGCAGTCGTGGCTTTATGTGTAGATGTGAAACATGTCAGAGCAAGAGAGCTTTGCCTGTGACCATAAAATCTGGCTGCCAAGCTGGGCTCAGCCCACTGGACACACACACTTCCTGGCGCCCTCCGAGCCACCTTCTCTCTCCAGGAAGAGCCACTTTGTGGTGGCCAGGGTGTCTGACCTTGGCTCTGTCCAGGAGCCGTCCAGGTTCTAAGGGTTGCTAAGGAAGTTGGGAGGTGGGTGGGTCACGGGGCTGCAGCAGGCTCTGGGGACTAGGGAGGCGAGGCCTGCACTCCCTGTCTCACATTTTTTTGGTGGGACAGGGCTTTGCACTTGCAAAGCAGGCACTGAACTGCTTGAGCCACACCTCCAGTCCATTTTTGCTCTGGTTATTTTGGAGATGGGGTCTTGTGAACTATTTGTCTGGGCTGGCCTTTAACTGTTGTCCTCCCGATCTCAGCCTCCCAAGTAGCTGGGATTACAAATGTGAGCCGCTGGTGCCCAGCTTCTCCATATCGAGTCTCCCCTGAATTCCGGGTATCTTCCACTCGGGTCTGCCCACCCCTAACCTCATCCCAACAATTTTCCAGCATCCACTTTGTACCGTGTGTGCTGCTCTTGACATCACACTGTTGAGTATGGCCACACCTACACATTTCTCCAAAACAATGTCCCTGCTGCTGTCACAGTCCCAAGGCTTCCCTCTAGGCTCTATGGTGCCACAACAGGCCGAAGCAACATCCAGTACAATGCACAACGCCGAGTGTCTCTGCAGGGGCTTTTTGGAGTATGTGATGAATTTTGGTTTTTGGTCTAAATTCCAAGCATACTTGTAAATTGCAACCCAGTCTTAAATTTTTCCATTTTCTCAAAATCCTCTGAATTAAAGACCCAACAAACATGAATAAAAATGAGAGCTAATGACAGAAGGGTCCTGAAGCAGAGGTCTGTTTCACTGGGGGGTGGGAGAGCGTTTGGCCTATCCTAAATCTGGTTGGGAGCCCAACAATCCCACATGGTTCAGCACCCTCTGGCTCAGGCTCACCTATCCCTGCTGGAGGCTTCATTTTCTTGCTCCAGTGTGTGGAAGTCCTGGCCCTCTGGTCTGTCAGCAGGATGGAATCTGGACCCTGGTGGGCATCATGTCCTGGCACAGTGGTACCTGATCCATCTCCACTCCTGTTGTGTATGCCTGCATTTGGGAAGTTCTGGAAGTTAACTGAGTCACCTCCCAACCCACATCTGAATAAAACCATCAAGAGCAAAGGCTTGCCTCTTCACTTCTGTTCTCACCAGGGTGGTGAAGGGATGGGAGGCTGGATGACATCAGTGAGGCCCTTCTGTGGAGTTTAGAGTTAAATGGGCTAGCAGATCCCCTGCCCTGCCCCTTTCTTTGTATAGGCAGGGAAACTGAGGCCCAAATTCATATGCAGAATGGTAGAGCTGGGAGCAGCACTGAGGTAACCCCATCTCAGGCACAGGCTGCCAGCAAAAGTACAGAGAGAACAGACACAGGCCCAGAGCAAGGGCTGGCACTAGGCTTCTGCCTTCCTAATTTGGAGGCCAAGTCCATGTGTAAGTCAAATAACACTCTGTAGAGTTCTACAAACAGAGATGAGTTTCCTTCTAAGAGCAAAGGTCTGGGTAAGATCTGTAGAAATGAACTTCTTCCTGTGCAGTGTGCCCCAACTTGGCCTGTCCTCCTCCTGGAGCTGCTCCTGGCTCCAGGTGCCAAAATGCCAGGAAAATGTGCAGTTGCCACCTTGCTGAGTTGTGCTCATGCCAAGCCTTCTGGGCCTCAGGCCCTGTGCAGTCCTCTCCCCATCCCACCTGTTTTCCAAGGCCCCACTTTGCAGGTGACAGCCAGTCTCACCTCCCTGGCCCAGCCTGGGTTCCCTTCTGAAGGGATCCAGTTTTCTTCCACCCTCCAGTGTTTACCCTCTTAAGTCATTTCTCCTTAAACCCATTGTTTTTACTGTGGCCCCCTGGGCTGAGGACATAGCTGCCTTCCCACCCCTGGGCCCTCTCTTGTCTCTCATACACCTTAGAAAGCTGCTTTTCATTTACAAATTTTATTAAATGTAGACTATTAGTCAAATGATTGGAAAATCAATAATGAAAAATAGTTTTTTAGGTTTTCTCCTGGTGTACCACTGTTCTCTCCTGTCATGGGGACAGGATCAGGCCAAGGGGTCACAGGAGCCCTGTGGGCTGGGAGAGCCATGTGCTCCAGCCCTGGTCTTCTTGGCCCACAGTACACTCTCAGGGAAGAGCACCAGCCAGCTCCTCAGCTTCATTGTCTCTGAGGAGCCACCGTCCTCCACCTGCCCTGTCACAAATATGTACAAATCCCCAGACGGTTGAGGGCACCAGCCTGTGGCAGAGCTGGGGTTACCTGTCCCCAAGCTTGCAGGACACTGACTCCTAAGATGGGTGCCTGGGGTGGCTCAGACCATCACTGCCCCTCCCCTGCCCCCACACTCTGGTTATCTACTCTCAGGCAGCAGCCAGCTGGCCCAGGACCCGGTGGAACTGCTGAGTGCTGTGGCCCAGCTCCCTGACCCTGTCTACCATGTCCTGGGCAGCAGCAGGTGACGGGTACTGCAGGGCAGCAGCCTTGGTGGTGGCCACAATGCCACGTAGGAGGTCACACAGCAGGTTGCTGTAGTGGGTCACCTGGCTGCGCACATCGGCTGCCTTGGCCTGCCGTGACAACGTGTCCCCAATAAACACCAGCTTGTGGGCACTGAGAATGACGAACTTGCTGTGTGCCACAAAGATCTTGGGTGGCTGGTTGGTGGCCACGGCGGTGAAGAAGGCCTCTACTGCGTCTGTCAGTGTGGTCAGGTTGGCCTCGCACTGCTCCAGGTAGAAGAGTAGCAGCTGCCGGTCGGAGGGCCCCAGGCCACCTGTCCGTCCCGGTGCCAGAGGCTGGGCAGGTGTCCAGTTGGCCAGGTCATGGTCTATGGGCCGCGACACCTCCTGCTCGAGTCGCTCAAATTGCTTTAGCTGGGGGGAGCAAGAACAAGGTTAGGCTGAGTCACAGACATGGGGAACAATTTGTATTCATCTCGGTACTGCCCACCAAAGTAAAATCAGGAACAACCTAAATGTCCAGTGACAGGACTACAGGGTCTAGTCATGTCGAAAGAGTGCAGAGGAAGGATGAAGGACATGTTTATTTCCTAAAACCATGGAGAATCCATGTCACTACCTGTGTAATTTTTGTTTGTGTCCTTTCCTGTGCACTTCACACTCCCCTCACTGATTCTCTATATCCCCCATGAGGTAGCTACAACAAGCCTCACTTGTGGGGCACACTGTCCTCTGCCTTCTTTCTCCACGCCTGGAGAACATGAGGCAAGGGAACCTTGATGGCAATAGTTTTGCCCTTGTATTTTAACTTTTCAAATTATCTTCATAATCAGAATTACATGCCCTTAGTACTTTGCAGAAACACCACTTTCAGAGTGGTTTCCAGAGGGTAGAAAGGCTCTGAGAGAGAAAAGGATGGAGAGAGGATGGTTAGCCAGTACAGGGGATAGATGGATAGGAGGAATGACTGCTGGCACTGTATAGCACAGTACTATGTCTGACAACATTTTGAAATACCTAGCAGAGAGGGTTTTGAATGTTCCTACCACAACTAAATGATCAATGTTTGAGGTAACAGCTTAGGGCAATTACCTTCATCTGATCATTATACATTGTATACATGTATCAAGATGCCATACTGTTCTCCATACACATGCACAACTATGTATCAACTAAAAATTTAAAAAAAATTAGAAACACTAACAAAACAAAAACACCCTTTCCTATCCTAGGAAATAATTCAAAATAAGAAGAAAACTCTGTCTGTGAATAAACACAGCACTATTATTTAAAATAAGAACTGGGTACAACATAAACATTCAACAATAGACTTTATGTGGCCTTTTAAAAAGAATTTATGAAGAAGGTTTAATGCTGGGGAAAAATGCTGGACACAGAGGCAGAGTGTAGCTGCTCCCAAGTCTCATCTCCAACAGGCACCGGGAGGCCAAGGAAAGGAGCTGGCTGGTGGAAGCCACCCCCAGTTCCAGCTCCTGTGTCTGCCTGTGGGTGCCAGTATTTGTTTTCCACTCTTACACTGTTCTGTGATCTCTATGATGTCAGTTATTATTACTCTGATAATAACTTAATTGTGCTCATTTATTGAGGTGCTAATGACTGAATCCAGGGCTTCAAGAATGCTAGTCAAGTGCTCTGCCACTGAGCTATTGCCCCAGCTCTCTCACTTAAAATCAACCAAATCAGCCAAGGTGCAGTAGTAGCATGCACCTGTGGTGCCTCAGGAGGCCGAAGCAGAGGGATCACTTGAGTCCAGGAGTTCAAGACCAGCCTGGACAACACAGTGATATTCTACTTCAAAATAAACTAAAATAAACCAAACCAAACCAAACCAAAAGATGGAGAAGGGCATGAGGTTTGGACAGTGACTGGCTGTCCCTGTCACAGGAGGCAACCATCCCAGGAGAAGCTGGGGCCTTAGGGCCTCAGGATTCACTGGGCAAGGCCTGGGGTCCGTGGTCCTTGAGCCAGGCTGGGAGCCTCACCTGCTGCAGCTCCAGCTGGCCCTTCCCCTGCCGCATGCTGTTGCCCTTTTCCAACAGCTCCTTCTGGGTCTTCTCAAACTCCTCCTTCCCCTGGAGGGGAGAGACAAGGCTGGCCTGAGAAGTCTCATCTGGGCCAGGACGGCCACTAGGTGCCATGGGGTACGGCAAGGATGCCAGCACCACCAGGTGGCGCTGAAGACACGCACAGGCTCACACTCAGGCTGGTGGAGTAGCCACTAGGCCCAGGGAAGCAGACATTGCAGGAAAGGGCTGGGCACAGGCAGGACACCCACAGAGGATACACTCACTACCTGCGGCCATGGCACCCTTCCTGGTCTGGCTCCCACAGCAGGAGGAATCAAAGCCTCCTCAGCCAGGCCTCGGCACCTGTGGGCACTCAGACTGGAATGCTCCTTACCAGGACTTCCATTCAGCTACCATGCAGGTGTTTTGTTCAAGGGAAGCAGCCTCAGAGGTACACTCCCACCCCACCTTCCCACTCCCCATATCTTGGTGTCCGTTTTCATCTTTCAGAACCGGCCTCTCTAAACAGAATGGAGTCACATCTGCTGTGCTCGCTAGCGAAGCTCAGCCCTTGAGATATCTGGGAGCCGTCACTGGCTGTTACTGCAGGATCCGGGGACAAAGCCTGGCTAACCATCAGGCCCAAGATGGGGTAAGGTGAGGGTGCTGGGACTCACCAGTGACCAATCGTAGAGCCCAAATCTCCCTCTGACCATAAGAACTTTGTGTGTGTGTGTGCAGGGGGAGAGGGATGGCTCCTTACAAGAAGAGTAGCAGAGTCAGAGCCTGTGGCCTACGCAGGGAAGACACCCACCTGCAGGTGGACGTAGTCATAATCCTCCATCCAGCCCCCCTCACTGTTCTCGTACTGCCCATCTGGGGAGTCTTGGGAGGTGAACTTGGGGGGTGACGGCAGGGGCCGTGACTGGATGCTGCTGGCCTTGTCACTGGGGTTAGGGTGCAGAAGGCCGCCCCCCTCTGGCCCCGGGGCAGAGGCCTTGGTCCGTCTGAAGAGCAGCGAGGCATTGCCATGCAAGAAGGAGGCCAGCTGCTTGGCGTCTTCGGGCACAGCCCGTGAGCAGGCTACCAGGTGGTCCAGGTCTTCAGTGGTGAACCCTGTGCCTCCCCGGCCACTGTCAAGGACTTGACCATGGGCCACCAGCGTCTGGTACACGTCCTCCATCTTCTGCAGCTGCCGGCTAAGTTTGGCATGCAGGGTGCGGTCAGAAGTGTGGGTGGCATTGCTCACAGCGCTGCGGGCAAACTCTAGCAGCTCATGGACAGCCCCCAGGACAGCAGCCACCGCAGCACGCAGGTCCTGCACTGGTGGCTCCTGAGGCTCAGAGGTACTACGCCAGCTGCCAGCCCCACCGGCACTACCCACCAAGTCCAAAAGGTGGGCTATGGTGGCGCTCACACCTTGCTGTAGCCGTGCCAGGGATTCCACAGCAACCTCCAGCTCCAGGGGCTCCCGGCCTAGCACTGACACCTCCAAGGAGGACACTGACTGGCTGCTGCGCGTGCTGCCTGTGCTGGAGGCTGACAGGCGCTTGGCATCAGCTGGGGCCTCTCGCTCAGTTGGTGGGGGCACAGCATATACACCATTGTCAACCATACTGCCGTCAGCCACATCAGAAGCAAGTACCCGTTCACGGGGCACATCATACAAGGTGCCGGGGCCAGGCCGCCGCAAGCCTGGTGGCACATCGTAGAGGTCGGGAGCAGGGGGTGGAACATCATATACATCCTCAGTTGGTGGGGAGTCTGGAGGAGGTGCAGCAAGGATCAGTGGGTGGCGGGCTGGGTCAAAGGGCTTGGCCTTGGCGAAGGCAGGGGGCACATCGTAAGTCTCCTCACGCTGCAGCGGGCCATCAGGCACATCCTTGCTCACAGACGGTGGAACATCATACACCTGGGGGACCAAGTGGTGGTCAAGGCTGTCCTCCATATGCCCACCCCAGGAGCTGGAGGCAGGACCCAGCCACATACAGACCTGCCTGGTGCCCACACCAATCATGATGTTACTCAGGATGGTGATGGCTAGGAACCCAGCTCTGGCACCACCCATCTGTAAGATGAGGAACTCCTTCACAGGGATGTTATGAGGATTACATGTGTATTAATTTAAGTGACTAACTCCGAACACATAGGCAGAGGTTAGCTATTGTGTCACCACTGCTGCTGTCACTGCCACCACCACCTCCTCTACCACATCATCACCACACCATGGACTTTCTGCTCTGTAGCACAGTAAGCTCTGACTGAACTTTGCGTGTCATATTTTGGTTTAGGACAGTCCTATGTAATTACTAGTCTCCCTTTCACTTTCAAAGTGAAAGTGTCATGGTTTGGATGACAAATTTTGTGTTCACCTCACTGACAACCCTTTTCAAGAACATTCTGAGAAGGCCCTTCCTTCCATGGGCCATTTTCCAGATGATGAAGCTGAGGCCCAGATGGTAGCTTGGTTTCCACATCTGTTCCACAGCAAGGGAGGGGTGGACCTGAGCTCTCCAGACACCAGTCCCCAACCCAGCACACATCCAGTCAATCCTCAACTACCCCCAGGAAGCCTCTGAGGTCCCAGGTTTTGCCAGTTGCTCACCGCATGGTGATTGGAAGGTGGCAGGCCCTTCTCCACGCTGGGAGGCACATCATACACATCCAGCAATGGGTCTCTGCCATTGGGACCCTTGACAGCCATGGGGGGTGTGTCGTATACCTGAAGGGCATGAAAAAAGGGTATAGTAATACAAGTGCCAGAACCACGGCACTTGTTTAATGGGGAGAGCAGAAATTCCAAGGCACCTACCCCAGGACCTGGCTGGGACTGAGAAAATCCAGTTCCCTGAGCTAGGGCCAAGTACAGGCACAGACTTATAATCCCCACCCTCTCCCGCCCCCAGTCTCCCAACACCTACCTCCTGGCCATACTGGCTGGGAAGCAGTCCCCGAACAGGTGGCACATCGTAGATGTCCTGGGACCCTGGGGCCAGCAAGTGGCGTGGGATGTCATATTCGTCCTGCTCTGGCTGGGAGGCCTCAAATACATAGCCCTGTCCCACTCGGGTGGGTACCACCACCTAGAGGTAAACAGCAGACTGTATCACCAGCCCTCATGACCCACCCAGAGGCCTTTCAGGAGACTGCCTGAGGCATGGTAAGGTACATAAAGGTGTGTATGGGGGTGGGGGGAGGCTTCCCAAGGGTAGGCTTAGAGGCATTGGTTATCATCCCTTGTGTATTTATTTTTGCTGTTTCTGTAGTAAAATGAAGCACTTGGGGTACAATAATTAGACCTCTGAGTTTTGTTTAGAGTTGTCTGGTTCTGGGCCAAGTAACAGAAAGTCACTATAGCTGGATAACCCAGAAGGTTCCACAGGTGCATTTGGGATGACAGGGGGTGGGGAAGGACAGGCAGGATGTAGGGCTGAGGTCCTGGCTCCAGAGGGCACTGCCAGAGGGGCAAGGGGGCCACCCTGGACTAGGGTCCCAGACCTGCTGGACAAGACGCCCCCATGTAAGGCCTCCTGTGACTTTCCTATTGACACTTCCCAGTTGCCTCTTCTCAGAAAGGCCTATTCAGCAAGGAAATACCCATAGGACCAGGCTCTGGAGATGCAGGTACAGCAAGCTGCCCTTCCCTGGCCCCCATGGCACAGCTTGGGGAGAGGCCTGAGAGCAGTCACAGGGCCGGTTCTTGGGCATATGGCCAGGGCTGGTTTGGAAGGTTAAGCATGTGGGCAAGGGGAGTTGCAACTAGACTCAAGACCCCTTTCCTCTGCCGCCACACCCATGGAGCTACCTTTCCCATCTGAAAAGGGAAGGCCTCAGTGGGGGGGCTGATGGTCGGAGGTCAGTCCCTTCCCCCCAGAGGCTCTGACTCTGGCCAGGATCCATGGCAGGGTGCCACAGCAGCAAAGCTCTGGCACTGTACAAAGGGTAGGCAGGGAGCGGGGATCTGCCTGGAATACTCACCACCCCTCCCAGGAGCGTGCTGCCCCTCACACCAGAGCCCAGTCTGAAGGGGGCGGGGGCATGCAGGGAGCCTCCTGTCCTTCAGGATTCTCCAACCAGGCACAGGCAGCCTCCCCCACGGGGTTCCCTGTTCATCTCTCTCCACAGAAAAGCCCTTTGTTCCCTAATCAAAGGGGATGTCTGGGACAGGGTTGACTCAGGCCCTACCCACACACACCCTCCCTGAGGCTCAATGCTCCCAGAACCCTGTCCAGGCCCCCAACAGGCGTTCAACACTTGGGCCAGCTGGGATTCAGGGCCCCTTCTGGCAGGAGAGCCCAGCAGGTTGGTGTGTGCTGGTGCCATCAGGGCCTTTTCCACACCAGTGTCTGGGGGTGAAGTTGCAGCCACCTCTCCAGATTCATCTCCCTCTGCAAGCCCTAGACTTGAGTCTCCTCCAGAGCTATTTTTAGATGCTGGAACCTTTCAACAGTGGGGCAGGTGGGGGCTGGCTGGATGTAGCAGGTTGGCTGGTCCTTGAGTCAAGGTCTACAGCTCCTCCAGACCCTTGGCCTCCAGGTGGGGACCAAGAGGCAAGCCCAGACTTAGTGCCAGGAGGTGGAGTGAGTGCCTCCCCAGTCCCTGCAAACCCATCTCACCCTCATGTAGACAAGACAAGGCTGAGAGCACAGGCTGAGGCCACTAGAGGCCAGACCCCACACCCAGGCTATTAGGGCAGCTTGTTACTCCTGCTGCAGAGTTGAGTGACAGTGAGCAGCCATGCTGGCCAGCAAATGTTTTTCTGTTAGAAAAACAAGAGTAAGCCAGCTGCCAACAGGGAGAAGCTTATTAGGAAAATGAATTCTTCAGAGAGCTGCTGAGCCCTGCTAATCACAAACCACCCTGTCCTGCACCTGAGGCTCGCTAGCAGGATCTGGAGGCCCCTGGGGAGTTGGGGAGCACAGCTAGAGGCCAGGAGGAAGAGGTGGAGATACAGACACTCCCTGACACACACACACATACACACTGTGGAGAGAACAAGAGTACAAGGCATAGGATTGTAATGTCAGCCATACACACTCATATGCGCGCGCGCGCGCACACACACACACACACACACACACACACGTACACATGCAGTTGAGGCTGGGCAGGAAGACTGCAGTCCCCCCATCCCATCCCTGACAACCAGGTGTCTGGGGAAAGGAGGTTAAACTCAGAAACACGCCTTAGCTTGTCAGTCAGGGCAAGGATGAAACCTCCAGAGCAGCCTTGGTCCTGTAGAGGCCAAAGTGTCAGTTGTGGGGAACAGAGACAAGAGGAGACTCCTCCCTGCCTCCCAGCTGTGCGTTCTATCCTGGGGGCCCACCATCTCCAAGCAGCATAGCTGCTGGTGTCTGCCTTCTGCAAAATGGGCACTATCCCACTGACCTGGGCCAGCTTCCCACTCTGGTGCACCCAGCCCTACATCTAGGAGTCTCGTTTTCTCTTCTGTGAATGGAGTGTCACAGGAGTGCCATAGGGACACGCAGATGATTACTTCATCTCTGCAGCCCCATCCTCCACCCCTCTGGCTCAAGGGCCCAGCACGGGAGCCTGAGAAGAGGTAGAGCTTCCAAGGTGAGGAGGATGAAATCCAGGCAGGTACGACTGAACTCGCACGTTCCCCATGCCTGGCAGGCTGCAGCACTTAAATCAGGTTGCTTCCTCAAGAATAGCCTTACATAGATGCCTTCCCTCCTGGGGTCCTACATGGTCATGAAGAGCCTCTGCTCTCAGCTTTGTAGCACCCATTCCCCAATCAGAAGGTCCTGGTGCCCTGGGGTGGCCCTGACTTTGCTTTTCCCAGCCACACCAGATGGGTGTTGCATTGGAGTTAGACCCCTTCTGGCCCCAGCCTTGTCACTCACCCCATTGGCTTCCTGAGACCAGGGTTCCTCCCATTCACACATCGTTCTGGCCAGGGCATCACCTCCTCAGTCCAGTTAACCATGGCCCTGAAATAACCATTACCCTAGATGGGTCTGAGTTCTGACACCCATTGGGGAGGCCCTGGAGCTTACGAAGGCAAGACCTCAAAATTTGGATACAGATGTACACACCAAGATGTTTAATGCCATGCAGTTTGTAATAAAACCACAAGTGGTCAAAGACCATCTAGTGCCCACCGCCAGAAGAGGCAGCAAAACGGCAAAACTGGGGGCAGCCATGCCAACAGGTATAATGTGGGTGTCTGATTTCCAGCCTCAAAATGCAAAAGCACAAATCTGTGAAAGACAGATTGCCTCTAGTACGCTGGACCAAATATGCCGCAGCGTCCCAGTGATCTCCCTTGATGAGTACCACCTCCAGACTTCTCACACACTATGCATTTTCTATGGTAAATAAGCGTCACTTTCATGCTCATAAAATAAAAGAGGCTGCCCTGGCCAGGAGGTGAGGCATCCTGGGCAGCTGGGCATAGGGTTCCCCTTCCTGGACCCTCAGCCAGGTCAGGGCCCTTGGGAAACAGGCGTGGACAGCTCCACCAGTAGATCTGGGCAGAGAAGGGCCCAGTCAGTAACCCCCTGCAGTAGTGTTGAGGGTCTCACTGATGCTTCCTGGCCACAGGGCTTCCTTTTCCTGCCTGCCCCAGCCTACCAGGTGTGCCAGGAAAAGACATGGGGGAGGGTGCTGAGGACATGTGCCATGGGTGTGGGTACACGCATCCATCTGTGTGCTATATATGGTGAAGGTGTGCAAGTGGAGGAAACAGACCATACCTGTCCCAAGGTTCACCAGCCAGGCACTGCTCCTACTGCCTCCCTAAGGGCAGTCTCCCACACCCCACACTTCCCCAACTCCACAGCGCCAGCTTGGGAGGAGCTCCACTCCAGGCATCCCAGCCCAGACCAGCATGGCACAGGTTTCTACTACCTACCTGTCTCTGGTCAGATGGTTGAAGTAGGACAAGAAGAAGTGAGGGCCAGTGACCCAGGGACCATGAAATACCATCTTCTGCCTGCCCATGACCCCTGGCCAAGTCTCCTGGATGCCAGACTGCTCTGTGGACAGGCTTGAGGTGATACTACCTGCTGACTTGCTGCCCAGCTGGTACTGGTGAGTTCCCCACCTCAGCCTTGGCTGAGTGTCCACTTGGCTACTCTCTCTCTAGACACAGGTGGCTCTGGACTGGACATGGTGAGAATGTGAGGCATGAGTGGGGCCCCAGGAAGCTGACCTGGCTGAGCCTGCGTTGCTTCTCTTAAGAGGCTCTGTGCTTATTATTAGGTGGCTGCTCCCACCAAGGCCTCCAGGATACATGCCTGCCTGTGTTTCCCTGAGCACAACCCAGGCAGCTGGGACAGAGCTGGATGTTAAGATTCTCCCTGGTGGTGTGGTCTCAGGTGACTATTATGGAAGGCAGGCATGGAGGAGACAAGGAGAGCTGGACATGGCAACTCTATCCTAAAAGTCTGGGGGACACCTCTGTTTCTGGGCCCAGAAACTCCATCCCCAACTCTTGAAGAGATTTTGGCACGGGAAGACACAGGTCAACTAAAAGTGAAGAAAAGTTGCTCTGGACTCAGCCTGAAGCAGCCAAGCGGCCTTGCCTTCAGTCCTGCTTTCTTCCATAGGTAGACGCCTTGGGGTGGCCCAGGGCACACAGGCAGGGGGAACTAAGGGTGTCCAGCTCACAGCCTGAAGCCCAGTGGTCTTGTCCCACAAGTGGAGAATGGTTGGCCTGTGGAGCAAGGGACAGCCTGCAGGTGCGCTTGACCCCTATCCAGAGGACTGACTCACGGAAGCCCCTAGCACAAGGTGACTTCCCTCTCCTTCATTGGCGCTCAGGAGATCACTGGAACTCATGACTGCTAAGGGCCTTCAAGAGTTTTCTGTCCTTATTAATGAGACATGGCACATGCGGCCACCTGGCAAAACTCTATTCTGTGCTGCTAGGTGGAGCACCAGCTTAAGTTTTGGTGGACAGGAGGTAAGAAGCAACAAATGTAACCTCCAGAAAGCCCGCATGATGGCTGGAGCTCAAGCAGCACCTTGTCACTCCTGGCCTGCCCACCACGACATATGACTTATGTGAGAAGAAAAAAAATGTTTCTATTTCAAGGTATGCTCTCCTAGTGGACAAGCTGCCTTTCTTATTCTTCCCCTTTAGGTGCCACCCTCCCTCCTTTTCCTGGGCTCCCTACTTTGGTCTGAGTCCCTCTATGCTGTGTTATACACTGCATACAATGCAGTTATACAATGCATTCTGGTCAGAATGATTTCATCTAAACATGGACTGAGGTGGAACCCTCCTACTCAAAACCCTGTATCCTCAGAACAGCATCTGGCTCTTTGGTGGGCATCAGGCCCTTCCAGAGTCTGTCCCCAGCCTGCTGCTCTTGCTCACCTGCCAAGTCCTGCCTTGTCCACCTGGAATGCAGGACACATCTCCATACCTCTAGGCCTGTCAAAGGCTTCATCCTATGCTGACACCTTCCCAACTCAGGGAGGCTGCTGAAGTCTTCTTCATCTCCAAGGCCACCTCCACCCATTCATACACATCTGCACCAGACGAATGAACACATTCCCAAACACCTCCCTGCTTGACCTAAGACCAAATGCACAGCTGGGAGCCCTGAGGTGGCTGGGCCCTTCTGTACTTAAAACCAGGACCTGGGCTAACCCTATAGGGCTGCATAGTTGTGCCAGGGCAGCCTTACCTTTGCTGGTGGCTTCGTCCCCTCCCAGCTGCGAGTATCCATGGATGGGGGAACCTGGTAGATGTCATGCCCTATGCCAGCGGAAGGTGGCACCTGGTAAATGTCCTGGGCAGGACTTCCAGGCCCTGGGGGCACCTGGTAAAGCTCTGTGGCTGGGCTGGGAAATGGGTGATGGGCCGTTTGCTTTGAGAATGCGGACGTCTGCTTGGCTGGGGGTGACTGGAACTGTGGGCTGGGTCCAGGGGCTTGGTAGACACCTTGCTGAGCCTTGCCTGGAGTGGGTACCAGGTAGACACTGTCAGGCTGTGGCTGGTATGTAGTAGGGAGCATGGGTGTGTACTGGGAAGCTGGGGGCACCGTGGAATGGAGACCCTGGGGGAGGCTGGACTGGGGCTGGGCTGGTGTGGCAGGTGGGCCTGGGCCCGGCCCCGCTGGCTTCTTGTCGTACATGCCAACCAGGATCTTGAGGCGGTTCCCGGGCACGATGCCCTGACGTCCATGCAGTGAACAGAGCCACCAGCCGTCCAGGCCCTGTGTGTCCCGCTCTAGTACTGTCATGATATCGCCCTTTCGGAAGGAAAGCTCATCAGGGGACTCGGCCACGTTGTCATAGAGGGCTTTGGCCAGCACATTCTGTGGAGAGAGGACGTAGTAGATGTGAGGGCAGAAGAATGGCACAGGGGCTCCCGTCACTTCTGGGATCAGGGAGGAACCTGTCTTTGGCTTTGGGTGAGGAACTCAGTCAGGTCTGGCAAGATTGCAGGGCTTGTCGCCACCTGAAAGGCCCACTTGACCCCATGTCTCCAACTGAGTTGGCAAGCCTCTCAAAATATTCTTGATGGCAGCAGCTACTATCAATACCTCAGAGAAGGTTCTCCATATGCTCCTAAAAACTACTCCTGTGATTATAGGACGGCCAGCACCAGGGAGGGAGCAATGACAATACAGCCACCAGGTTACACTGAGCTAGGAAGTGATTACCTCAAGAGGTGCAAGAAAATAATTTGACAAAAACCCTAGCTTCTTAAGATAAAAACACTAAAAAAGACATGGAGGCTTGACTCAAGCAGTAGGAGTACCTGTCTAGCAAGCACAAAACCTTGAATTCAAACTCCAATACTGCCAAAAAATCAAAACAAAAAACACTGAAAAAAATGGCAGAATATTTCTTTAAGTCTATAAAAGAAAACAGCAATTACTGTGGAAATCTTAAGGCTGAGAAAAAACAAGGATGTTTTCCTTACTCCAGCCCCAGAGTCCAGACCCCTGCTACTCTGATCAATAAAAGTTGCCAAGAGAAAGATGTTGGGGTGGTAAAGAGGCAGGGGAGGGTTGCATACATCACACAGGGGCAAAATACTCATCTGCAGACCATATGGTCGTCCATGCAAAAGCCCACAAATGAGAACTGGTAACTGATGAGAAGCATCCTATTGAGGACATTGTGGAACAGAAGCTAGAAGTTATTCGAGAAATAATCCAGCATCAACTGCAGAAGACCATAGAGGAGAAATGTTGAAGTTCTGTCAAAGTCTTTGAGGAAAAACTTAAATATGGGGGAAAATGTACCAAGTTCATGGTGGGATGACTTAAAGCAATAAAAGCTCATTTGCCCAGGCTAATTTCATAGCATAATTGTCCCCCTTACCCATGTTTTCATTTTCTGTGGTTTCAGTTAGTTACCCATGGTCAACCATGATCTAAAACTATTAAATGGAAAATTCCAGAAATAAAGAACCTATAAGTTTTAACCTGTACACCATTCTGAGGAGTGCATTAAAATCCCACCTAGGGTGCGAGTCATCCCTTTGTTCAGCATATCCTGGCTACATATGCGACTCACCTGTTAGTCACTTAGCTACCTTGGCCACCTTCTCAAGTTATCACAGTGCTTATGTTCAAGTGATCCTTGCTTTACTTAATAATAAATTAGGCCCCAAAGTGCAAAGTAGTGATGATGGCAATTTAGATATGCCAAAGCATTTCCTTTAAGTGAAAAGGTCAAAGTACATTAAGATATTTTGAGAGAGAAGGACCACACTCACGAAACTTTTATTACAATATTATTATAATTGTTCTATTTTATTGTTATTCATCTCTTATTGTGTCTAATTTATAAATTAAACTTTATAATTGATAAGTAAGTACTAGGAAAAACAGTATATTTAAGGGTCAATAGTATCTGAGGTTTGAGGCATCATCTGGGAAGTAATGAAACAGATTCGTCCCCAGGATAAGGAGGGAATAGTATAAATTCACTACAATTAAGATGACAAGCTGGGCACCAGGGGCTCATGCCTGTAATCCTCGTTATTTGGGAGGCTGAGATTGGGAGGATCGAGGTTCGAGGACAGCCTGGTTAAATAGATCATGAGACCTCCAATTCCAAAAATAACCAAAGCAAAATGAACTGGAGGTGTGGCTCAAGTGGTAGAGCGCTTGCTTTGTAAGCACAAAGCCCTGAATTAAAACCTAGTCCCACCAAAACAAACAAAAAATGCCACAAGGTTTATTTCTTTTCATTTTTTTTTAAAGGAATTTGGCAAAAAGAAAAAAATTCTAGAATGAAATGGAGGGCTGGGGGCATGGCTCAAGTGGTAGAACACCTGTCTAGCAAGCACAAGGCCTTAAATTCAAACCCTAGTACTGCCAGAATAAAACAGATTCAGAATGAAATGGAGGACTGGCACATTTTCAGTTCTGAAAATGGAAGGCACAGGAGGTACAACTTCCAGACACAGGACCTGCAAAGCAATGGGGAAAAGTTAAGGCTGCACAGCAAGTGAAGCCAGGCCACCCACTGTATGAAGAACATCTAACATGGACATTTACTTTACACTACACAGAGGGGCAAATGAAAACCCAAATGTAAAAGGTCTAACTCTAGGGCAAATAAAAGAGTGATTAATCAAGAATTTGGAGGAACTCCTACAATCAAGGAAAAGAACAACAGAAAAATTCACAATGCATGAAAAATTCCCCATGCAGAAACCAAATGGTCAAGGCTTGAAGGATGCTCAGAGTACCAGCAAGAGACGCAGCTATGTGGTCCATCATGTGCCCTAGTATGTGGGGAAGTTGGTGCTGGCAGAAGCATTCACAGGCTCCATCAACTTCAGTAACACTCAGCAGTAGGGTGCTTGCCCATCACTGCTTGGGGCCACTAAGCAGGTGAAGTTGAGAAGTGTCACCCTCTTGAGTTAAGAGCAAGAGAGAGGTTCTGTGGCCTAGAATTTTTCTTCTAAATGTTATAAACATCTACAGAAACACATTCTCTGTATTTCAAAGATTAATCTAGGGGCAGATCCCAGACATGTTATATTAACTAATGTGGGTACTTCTGGGAAAGGGAGGGGAATGGGATGAACATCAGGAATAAACAGGGAAAATATAGTAAAACAAGGAGCCTTGTACAGCAAGCCAGCCAAGGAAAGGCAGCCAAGGAAGGACATGTGCTCTGTGTAGCCCCTATGCGTCAAGGAGGAGGACTAAGGTGCAGGCAGACAGGGAATGGGCAGGCACTGGGGACACAAGAGCCTGATAAGGAGGCTGCCACTGCTGCCTTTTCCCAGGTGCTGAGTTCAGGTTGGGCCAAGAGGATAGAGGGCAGAAGCGAGAAAGGCTCCTTGGACTGGATGAGGCTGGGGTTTCTGCCCTCTTAAGGCAGCAGAGAATGGTCTGTGCTTAGCAGGGACCTCAGGTCTGATACACGAGGAAATCAGGTTCCAGAGGAAGCCTTAGGAGGGCAGCTCAGTGAAGGGTGGGGACGCAGGGAGGCCATACGTCTTCCTCTGGGCCCAGCCAACTCCCCTGTCTGGCCTCAATTCTAAATGTCCTGCAAGGTCCCTCCTGAGTCTCCTGGGTCTGAAGATGCACAGCTAGGTCTGAACCCTGACTAGAAAACAGGGTGAGGATTCTGACCACTCAATGGCTGGCTGTGACTATGTGACCTTCAGCACTTGGGCCTGAGAAGTGAGAAACATCCTCTAAACTTCATCTTCAAAGTCAAACAGGAGTTGGAATTCAGATGGCAGGAAGGACCATACTCCCTGGGACAAAAATCAGAAATGGGAGCCCTGGACTTGGGATAGAAGAGCAAGGGGGAGGCCTCCTTTCGGGGGGTGGGAGGCACCCTCTGAACTCTGTCTCCTTGGTCTGCCATGGAAAGGATCATCAAATAGATGAGTAGATAAGGACAACAGTACCCTGGGGAAAGGCCCAGGCAGGTAGCAGGAGCTCCAGGTCCCAGGAGGAGTTAAAGGCTAGAAAGCTGGGAGCCATTGTGAGCAAGTCCCAAGGGAGAAGTCAGGCCAGGCAGGAAGTCCAGGCTGACTCACCTTGGTGCCAAGGTGAGAACCACCAAGGGCAGAGACTCGGGAATTTCTACAATTGCTCTACACCCGATCTATGCCACAATTACAACAGAATTAAAAATGCGCTGAAGAATCTGAATATGATGGTGTGCATCTGTAATCTCAGCTACTTGGAAGGCTGAGACAGGAGGTTGTGAGTTCAAGGACAACATGGGCAACACAGTGAGACCCTGATTCAAAAATAGGGCAAGGAATTGTAAATTATGTTTCAAACTATCTTAAAATAGTTTAGACTGAATTAACTCATACAAATGATTATATTTCTCAAGTGTTTCAGGATGGATGAACTTTCTCTCTGATGCATTAACTTGTAACTTGTGGTTAGAACAAATACTGTCTATGTGTTTTAGGAAGAACATATATGCAAACCGTGTATACAATTCAATAAATATTTAAAAATAAAATTTAGTAAATAAGGTGCTCTTAAAATAAATAGGGAGAGGATCAGAATACCATTGTAATGTTCCAGATGATAGGGAACACTTTCTTTAGTTTTGTAGAATTTCTCAATTTTTATTTAGTGAGCATTTCTTATTTGAGGATTGAAAAAAAAAAAAAAAACATATCCTGAAAAAGAAAACAGTGGACCACCTCCTAGGCTCCAAGGCAGAATGGGTCAGAGGCAGGCTGCTGTAGCAGGACCTGGAGGAACAGGCAGGGACAGGAACTGCCCTAGGGCTCACCAGGGCTCACAGCCCCCAACCCCAAGCCGCCAGCAAGAAAAGCAAATTTCCCAAATATGGTCAGCAGCCTGCCACCGGCAATCATAAGGGGAGGGGCACCAGACCCACCCTCCCACAGTGACCCCACAACACAGAGCTGGCCAGGTCCCTTAGCACCAGCCCTGGTGACCACAGGAAGTGCCAGTAGAGTGAGTCACAGAAAATTCCCCTTTAGCCAAGTCAGAGGGGGCTGGGAGTGTAGATGGAGGGGACTGCCCCTCAGAGGTCCCTCACCTCTTAGGATTGTAGCCCAGGGCAGGCTGGCAAGAGAGGCCCCACTGGGCAGAGCCAGGCACTCAGGCAGGCCAGGAAGGGGCAAAGGCAGAGAGGCTGCAGGGCTCTGCTGAGAGCAAGGTCCAGCAAGGGAGAAGGAGAAGAGCTCTCTGGCCCAGGTGAGCCACCAGGCCTCTGGGGCTGCCAGCCCCACCCATAACGTTATGAGCTTACTGAGCTGCATAAGCAGCCAAGTGTGGCTGCAACCGTATAGTCTGGAGCAGCCAGAGCCAGGCTGGGAAGCACTTCTTGGCTAGGGCTGGGC